GATTCCGGCTCACTGGCTGAGCGCGGTGCGGGCACAACACCGAGGGTTGCGATCCCAACACCGAGGGTTGCGATCCCAACACCGAGGGTTGCGATCTCAACACCGAGGGTTGCAATCCCATTGCCGGTCCCCAGTGCGGGTGCGACACCGAGGGTTGCGATCCCGTTACTGGTCAGTAAAAAAAGACAAAAAGGAAAAAAAAAAAAAAAAACCAAGGCCCTGCTTGTCACGCCGTATTCCACACCTATAACATAGACCTATCAGTCAAGACAAAGGCCAAAAGGATCTAAGGAGTGATTTTTAGACAACATGCTACATATAGAACAAAAAGCTTTTGTCATATTTGTGCTACCTTTATAGAAAAATGAGGGACATCACCAGTGGCTTAGGTCTGTGACCTAAGGACTTTTTAACACTAAAAATCTAGGCTCAATAGGAAGAAAAGTAGGCTGCAATAATTATCTACACCAGCAGAGGGAGACAAAACTTACTGTAAATATAGTTTACAACGATGTTGCTTGGAAACAAAAGGTAAAGAGGGACCTGCCTATATTTTCTAATTAATGAGATCATGTTGCAAGAACAGGCCACTCCACTGCATGTGCAGTTTGTGAGTGCACACGCCCCTGGCTCAGGAACACTATCTGGCAAGCAATAATCCTAAACTAGCCACTCCTCGGTCCCCTTCCATCCCCCCCTAGTTTATTTCCTCATCGGTGAGACATGGATGAATGAGCACAATGATCCTCAGCTGGTCTACCCAAACCTCTGGGGGCAAACACTTGCCTGGAGTAGGCAGCTCTTGAAGGAGATCAAATTCCAGATGCACAACCTCTGTCTACACTCTCACCTACAAGTGATGCTCCCCTCTCCCAGCCACTTTTCCTAACAGTCCTCCACTTTACATAAGAGGGGCCCACCTCTCATCCATGCGGCAGCTTCCTGGAGTGCTGTGTCCAGAGGTGCAGAAACCTCTGGGACAGCAAATGAAAAGACAGCACAAAATGCTGGTATTGACAGAAACTACCCCACCCAACTGAGGCACAATAAACCTGCGATATGGCTTCCTTTCTTTCCCTATTTTGTACAAGGATACTTCAAAAAGTCTGTAGAAAAATAAAATTAAAAGATAATACAAATCTTTCCATGCATTTTTTGAAGCACCCTTGTATGTATTTCTTTAGGGAAGAGATGTGGCCAAGAAACAGGATAATTCGGTCCATGCTGGGATGATGTGCATTCAGTTATTCAGCCGAGGGGGCGGCAGGAGCACTGATGTTTTTATTTAACAACTTCACCTCTGCCATCTCCTAGCCATCAAAGAAAGATTCCTCCACTGCTGTGGAAAAATCCAGTGAGAGCAAAGCAAAGAGGATGGCAGTCAGAAACCCGGAAGGCACGGTCTCATTTCACCAGCGACAGACTCCCAAGGCTCTGTGCTTTATCTGTCTTTGAAGTGGAACGTTCAAAAACTGTTCGACAGCACGCTGGAAAAAACCAACATGCACGCTTTCTGCAAGTTCACCATTCTCAGGAATGAAAGAGCTTGGTAAGCACCCCTGTTCGCCAGGCCTCAGTCTGAGTCTTAATGCCGTACTTTGCATCAAAAGGACAAAGAAGTAAAAATGTCCATGTTTGGGCCAGCCCGGTGGCGCACTGCTACAGTGCGCCGCTTGTGAGCGCGGTGGCGCTCCCGTCGAGGGTTCGGATCCCACATACAGACCGGTTCCCGCTCACT